TGGATACCACGCGCCCTTCGCCCCAAATTTGTAAAAAGTATTTCAAGTACTAGAGTCTTCCCATAATATTGCCCACACTACAGCGCAGCCCAAGTGCAGTCGCTGCTCACTGCGCAGTTAGCAGAGCACAAGCTCATGCGTGAATGTGGATGCATATGTATGTATGTGTGCTTGGAGGGTTCAGGGTATCTCGTAGTCGAGCAGTCTCGACTAGCTTTCTTACTTGTTATAAATAAAACACATTTAATTATTATTGAAGCTAAAGACTTGGCAACGTGACTTATTGGGTTTCTAAGAGCTTCAATTGTTTCAACACAGACTTTATATCTATATATATACATATATATATATATGTATATGTATGAGTTGCAGTGATTCTTTCGCAATATGTTATTTATTATTATTATTTCATATGATTGAAAGGGCATATTGATATTTATAGGTATTCTTATGAGCCGACTTCTCAATTGGCCTTAGATGCCTATGTTGCTCGAGTTACGAATCCGGTGCGTCATGTTGCTAAGGAAGTTCGCAATATATCGCACTATCCAAAGCCCGCAGTAAAATATGTTGGTGAGTAATTGAATGTAATTGTTTGTGTAAATAAATAATATTTAAATGTTGCCTCTAATACACTTGGATTACTATTGTGGTATTAAATATAGTGTAATAGCAAATTTAGTTGCAACCTGCATTGTTCTTAAAATCGTTATTAAATGCCGTTCTCTAAATATTAAATAATAAGGTCAAAGTCATCTAGCCTCTGTAAGGATATGTGGCGATAAGGCTTATAATATTAGAAGACCTATGTACGATTCGGACAAAGTTCGAAACGATATTAACCTTTTGTCCTGGTACCTTAGACACCCAACTTGGAAGAATGAGAAAGAAAGCAATATCGCTCGTCAGGAAGGTAAGTTCCGTTTTAAACGGATTTTTAAATACTTCTGGCTTGTGAGTGGCATCTGTATAAAGCGACAATGAGCTAGTGATTCCTCCACTCATGATCATTTAACTAAATCATTTTTATTTGGATCTTCCAGCTCATGTAGCGATCTCTCTGAAATACATTTTTCGAGTATTCATTTCTCTTCTACATAATAAGAAAACATTTGTATTCATTTAAAGTTTTCATAATTCCCAAAATACATAAATTTGTCATTCCCTTGTTTATATGTAGGAGCGAACGCAATTTGAATAATTTATAACTAATGCATATATGTATGTCTCGCATCCTGACTTGTTCTGTTCCATGTACTTGACTAACCTAATACGTTTTATAATTGATTGATTCTTTCCAGTTGAAGCTGTTGAAGTTGAGGCCTAAAAGATAACATGCCTGACTTTATAAAATATGGACATACACATTATTATACTTTAAATAAATAAATAAAATGAAAAACCAACTTATGTTTGCCTGTTAGTATATAAAGCCGATATCAGAAATATAAACTCGCGATATCAGCAGAATCAGAAGCTTTGAACCCAGACTAACTCGGCAACTAATACAAACTTATTCACTGAAATATTCATTATGAAGCTCTGATGAATCAATCTCTACACTAATATTGCGAAAAACTTAACACAAAATTCTATTGTTACATTTGAATTCATCCATTGCATATTATATTTGTGTAACATATATTTCAAGTCCAAGCAATGAACTTTGTATTTCTCTTACTGATTGAATATTTCTTCCGCAATAAAAATAAGATTTTATGATGACATCAGAGTCATAAATATATATCTGCGCATATTATATGCCTTCCTTCGTTGCTCTCTATAGATACTTGTATATACATATGTACAGGAATATATCATATGGCCAATGGCCATATAACAAATCTTACAAATCTCGTGAGGACGTTGATGACCTTGACCCACATTCTCAATAATTGGATCGATTGAATCACCCTTGTAGCAGCCCACGTTGCTACAAAAGTAATATTACGGTTTGCATTTCCTGCAAATGAGATTCAATATACAGACAATATAAAGAAAGCAAGTTGTATCTAAATCTAGTTATAGGTTGATATATTTGCCACAAATATATTTTTGGCTTGGCCTCAATAGATTTTACCTTTAAAGCATATGACTGATAGCTATGCCTAAATTATACATACTATTACTTAGAAAAAAAAGTAGAGGAAAGTCTCTGCCTGAAAACAGATCAGAGAGATCATAGCATAATATTTGCACTTACACTCTATGCACTTGCATTGTTCACTTTATATTTAACTAAGATACGCAATAATCTCATCGCTCTAACTTCTGGCATACACACAAATATTTCTTTTGTACATTAAATTCAAGTAAAAAACAATTACTCTATTACTGGAGTCTTTTAATATGAAACCTCCACTATTGAAGTATAGGCCACTATCACAGCAATTATAATGAGTAAGTACATTTGAATATTGAATATTTTAAATTTCATGAACAAATATCAATATTTGTATATAGATATATATATTTATATATAAATTCGTGGCTAACAATCAATGTTTCTCATTTTTACTGGGTTGCACGAGTTGAGCAGTCAGTGTGTCTGATATGTGTTATAACCAGATTTGGTTTTCAGATCCCGATTTGGATCCGAATCGCCCATCAAGAAAATTTTCTGCTCCCAGACCCCTGGAGGATGCTATTGATCTGGAATCGAAGGAGAAGCAACGTCTACGCCAAGAGCGTCTGCTGACTGTAAACGAAGAGGCTGTAGATGAGCTTGAAGTGGAGAAAAAACGAGCTCAACGGGCTGCTGATGAAGCAAAGCGTCTTGAAGAGAAGTAATCGAAGTGCCCTTTAATAATTTTCTTAGATGGTTGTCTAATGGTTGATGATTGATTATTACAGTGTCCTTAAGGCGAAAAAAGAACGTGAGGCTGCTGAGAAAAAGGCCCTAGAAGAAGAAGAAGCCAAAAAACAGCGGGCTGCTGAAAAATTGGCCGAAGAGCAACGATTAATTCAAGAAGCACGCCTTGCTGAGGAAGTTCGTCTAGCCGAGGAAGCAGCCCAAAAGGCGGCAGCAGAGGAAGCTAAACTGGCTGAGGAGGCGGCTGCACGCAAAGCTGAGGAAGAACGATTGGCTGAAGACGCCCGCCTTGCTGAAGAGGCTCGATTGGCGGAAATAGCTGCTCAGAAAGCAGCAGAAGAAGCCAAAGCTGCTGCAGAGGCGGAAGCACGTAAGTTTGAAGAGGAGAAACGCCTAGCCGAAGAAGCTGCCCAAAGAGAAGCCGAAGAAGCTGCCCGTAAAGCGGAAGAAGATCGTCTGGCTGAGGAAGCACGACTAGAGGAAGAAAAGCGTGTGCGGGAGCAAGAGCTGAGCCGGCTGGAAGAAATTGAAAAGCAGGCCGAGGAAGAGCGCGAGGGCGAGCTGGCACGCCAAGCAGCCGAGCTAGCCGAAATCGCACGTCAGGAGGCTGAACTCGTTGCCCAAGAGCTTCAATCCATTCAAAAGGAAGACAGAGCTGTGGACGAACCCGTCGCTGATGAGCCTATTGTTGATGAGCCGGAAACTCCAGTCGCCGAAACTGAACAGGAGCCACTTATTGAATTAAATTCAAAGAGTGGAGAAACTGCTTTCGTATTGGAGAACGCTGCCGGCGAAGCTTACGTAGAAGATGCCGAATACGAAGAAGAAGAATAATTTCTTCGAGCAATAGCCATTAATTGCGAACATACTCCCTATTCAACCTTCAAAATTGAAATTGAAAATCCCAATTTCCACTAAACCGAAACTAAAATCAATTCAAACCCGCTTTTAGGAAGGACTAATGCTGTTAATTAAACGTCCCCTATTAAATAAAATTATAAATCATTTCGAATCTCATATATATTACCTATTCATTCTGTTATAACTATATACATAGCTGTATACAGTTTTATTGTTAATAATAATTAAAGTTCACTTAATAAAATGGCTGAATTTAGACATTACAACCTTTTCGACTTCAGAAATCTATAAAGGAATCTGATCGATACCGTATTTATTTATTTTACATACATATTTTAATGATCCGCACATCCTATTATTGGCAAAAGAAGATAATCTTGTCTTTAGTATACTGTTTGTTTATGATTCTTATGGTAGGATGACATAACTTACTTGATATACGCTAACCCATCAACAAGCTATGTAGGTTTGTTAACATTTATTTTGAATTCTAAGTGGTTTTACAAAGTTTCGCACATTTTAACAAGTATTTTAATATTTACAATATTAATAAAAAGCGTACAATTCCTTTAATATATTTTTATTCGTGTATTGGATTTCCAGTCCACACAATTTGATTATGCCGAATTCCGAATCGGAAGATAATATACAACTACAAAACACACTGTAAAGAAAAATTATGTTATGATTTGATAAATGTTCACAAATTGGTAAAATATTGTTGCTTGACTTATCTTTACTACTGAACTGAACTGAACTGAACATTTTAGTTTGGGGCACCGAAAGCCTATAATTAATATTGTAACTGGGATATGGTGAAAACTACTCTCTAAACACACGGAATTTTGGTCTCTTAGCAACAGCACAAATTGAAACTAAAACTAAAAGTTTGTATTCGATTATAAACCTATACACAAACAAATTTCGTTTGCTTTAATAAACAGAATGTTGGATAATACTGTTGATCTATGGTGAATAAAATCACTTACCTATTAGAATTACAGAAAGCAATGCAAACGTCGTCGTGCAATATTGGATTAATATAATACCCATCAGATTTGTTGCTGCAATAATTCCAAGTCGTCCCAAGGACATGCACAAACTAACAGCTTTTCCTCTGAAATGACAGAAAACACATTAGAAGACGATACATACATCCATATGTATGTTTGTAGGTTTATATATGTGGTGGTATTCGTTCCAGCATCTCGTTTTAGGGTCTGTACATTCAAATTACGTATATATATATATATATATATAGAATATTGTAAATAGAAGACAAATTATAATATCTTGTACGCAGTGCAGCAACTAATAAAAGCAATTATGTAAATATATATAAATATATAATTATTTAATATATAAATATGGATAACTTGGCATCGACACAGGCAAATTTAAGGGCATGTAATCTTTTACCTTAAATTTGTTGGGACTAGGTCGACAATGGCACCCAACATAATAGAAATTGATAGTCCAGGCAGAAGGATGACCAAGCAGAATAAGATCAGCACCACGATGGGATTTGAAACAAAATGTAGTAAGAATCCGCTGAATATTGACAAGGCGAGAGCAGCCACCAAAACGTTCTTACGACCAATAGGGTTTAATATGACGCCTTGAATTAGGAAACCCACCAAAAAGGCAACCCCCACTATCATATTGTCAATATAAGTATTGGTTGAAATTACATCAGAGCAGATCTAAAAATAAATTAATGCTAAGTTAATTTATCCAAATTATGGTTCATATCTTACATTGGTACTGTTCATGGATTTCATCTGGTCTTGCGTGGGACTGCTTAGTATTTCACAAACTGTAGAGCTTTGATTTCCTTCATTGGATGATCGGTTGACAATCTCTGGAAACCAAAGCTGTATTCCATTAGAGCTAAAAAGTTAAATTTAAATTTAAATTATTTTTCACCAAGCTATGGTTTAAAGGCTCCCACAAATTTACATGAAGCTCAGAAAATAAAGTATTGTATACAATAATTTGTGACCGGGTGCAATTTATATAAAATGAAACTATTGTCCTTTTTCATACTCACCTGAAAAACATACAGAAGACTGCAACGTTACATAGCACAAAATTAAATCCATGTGGCTTATGAAATAAAGGTTTAGTGGCACGAGCGATGTCTGTGATCATATGCCAGCCTTTGGAATTCGATAGTATGTTTTCTTCAGTCTGTATCTCTGGTTTTAATCTGAGCTCATTGCAAATCAGAACTTGAGTAATGGGCAATCCTCGATTAAATTTGCTGATCCAATCTACAGCGTTTATTGCCTGATCCTCTTTATCTTGAGACAGTAGATACTTGGGACTTTCGGGATAATATAGTAGTACCAGGCCCCCAATAACTCCGGGTAAAAGAGTTAATAACATTAATAAACGCCATGGACGAAACACAAAGTCACCAATAATGGGAATACTCCAATCATAAGATAATACTGCCCAAGCGGTTGCTGTAAGTACATGAAATTACAATATTTAATGTTGGCATAATTTAATATAATACATTATTAAGTATGTATGTATATGTGACCCTCAAAAGGTAATTTATTCAGCTTATATAAATATTTTATTTTCGACAGTCCTTATTATGTTTCCTACTAGGAGATTTATCGGCCTGTGTTCATGATCATATGTATATAAAAAAAAAACTTGTCTAAAACAGTGAACTATTCAAAATTTGGGAGAGAAAAAAAGGACGTATATATAAAGAGTGAAATGTCAACTATAGTGAGAATATGAATATGAAATTCGCTAGACTCATCCTATAGATGATAATAATATTCGTAAAGTATTGAGAGATGTTATAGTACCTGGGACATATATGGCAGTGACACTGACAAACATTGTTGAATAATTAATCGCAACGGCTCGATGTCGAGGTATGTTGAATTCACTCAAATATGCATAAAGAGCCGCAGAGACACCGCCGAGACTGTAAAAAATTTATTCAACACATTATCAACAAGTGAAAAGGCTCTAGTCGAGACTGCTCGACTAGGAGATATGCACATTACATACACAGCGACTGCGCTTGGGCGCTGCAGTGTGGGCAATAATATGAGAATATTATGAAATAAATATTTGTTGAATAATTTACTTTCTAGACGTACAATCTTAATGAAACTTTCAGAACGTAATCAGATTGCATGTACACACATTCCAAAGCACAAGTCTCTAGTATTTGAAAAGCGTTTTTTACAAA